GTGGGTTCGCACAGGTGTGAAGGGGAATCTGAGTCATTCAACTGACCTTGAGTGAAGCTGAACCAAAGATAGCAAACGGCCCACTCAAGAAAGCCATATAAACCACACTCCAAATGAGAAGATTGCCGCAGTAATCTGTCAGAAAGGTGATCCACACCACTCCCTCAAGGATCGCCCACTAACATACAATCCCCTCAGTGCCTTAGGGTTGTGACCACTCGCGACCAATACCACCACGCCACCACTGTGTCGAGGCGTCGCCACAGTAATATGTGGACAACACAGTGTCAACACCGCCTCAAAGTACACCCCCTCTTGACGACACTTCTCAAAATTGTCGCTGGTGCCGTAAAACCCGGATAGCACATTCACACCACCACTAAAAGGAACACCGCTGCTGCCGCAAAATTTCGGTAGCGCTTCCTCGTCACCGCTGAAAAAAACAGCTGCCGTCGAAAATCTCGGCAGCGCTTCCACGTCACCGCCGAAAAAGCATCGCCGCCGCCGCAAAATTTCGGCAGCGCTTCCGCGTCACCACCGAAAAAGCATAGCCGCCGCCGCAAAATTTCGGCAGTGCTTCCGCACTACCGTAGATAAACCCGCTGTCGTCGCCGCGCTGAACGAACAGCACCTCCCCTGCACTCCACCAGGTGCAGCGGCAGTTATGGCTGCCCTCACTCTTGTGCTCCCTGCAGACCTCCAACACTTCTCTCTCTCTCTTCACCTCGCTGAGATGGCGGTTATGGCTGTGTTCCACAGCTATGGCCACTCCCAGCAGTTCTCCTCCCTCACTTGCAGCTTTCCAGCAGCAGCACCGCCTCACAGTAGCAGCCAGCCAGCATTGCATTCACTCAAGTGAATGCCTCAGCAGCATTGCCACAACTTGTGAGGCTGCTGGGTGGAATGCTGGCTTTAATAGCCAGCCGAAAGCATGTGGGCAGCTGCTTTGCCCACAGCCAGAACTTGGAATGAGGCCTGACCCTTGATCTAAAACGCGATCAAGGGCCAAAAAGCCTGTTGTTCCCTTAGGGGAACTGAGTTCAGGTCACTGGAAATGTATCTGGCCCTCACCCGCGGCCAGACGCAGCCCAGAAATGGTTGTACTCAGCCATTTCTGAGCAGACTGTTGAACCCAACAGTCTGCTATCAATTCACAGTCCAGATGCTTCTAAACTTGCATCTGGACCGAGGCTGCGGCTAGATCCGCGACCCTTTTTTTTTTCCCAACTTCCTCTTTTTTTTTTTTTTTTCTACCCCCTCGTTTTCTAAAGTAGGGGCAGCTCGTTGTTTGAGAAATGAACGAGCAGGTCCCCCCCCCCCAAGTCATTTCACAGAGTCGAATGTCAAGCTCAACAGGGTCTTCTTTTCCCCCCTTTGCCCTGCGCCCGTTCCCGGACGCTTTCAGCGTCAGGTTCGGGCGCGCAGGCAAACGCTGCAGCCCGTTCCAAAATCCAACGGGCGCAGGTAAGTTGGTGTCCCCCCCCCTCTCTCTCTCTCTCTCTCTCTCTCTCTCTGTGAACACAGCCGCGTCTGTGTGGCAGATTCGGTCGGATTGACCGACTGTCGAGGCCCAGCCTCCTGATGAGTCGGTGAGACTTCGACGAAACAGTCGGTTTCGAATTGCCTGTCCGTTCAAAACGAACGAGCACTCGCTAAAAACACAAAAAAGAAAAAAAAGAAAAAAAAAAAAAAAATCTAAACCAAATCCTAGACGATAATCTAGAAGAACAAATCTAAAGAAAATCTAAAAAGAACAAAGGGAAAATAAAATCAGAAAAAGAAAAAGAAGAAAAAAAACAAAAGAAACTTACCTCACTGCCAAAACGGTCGCCTATTTTCAGGCGACATCGAGTGCACTGGGACTCAAAACGTCCCAGTCACTTCTTGCAGCGCCACCTGACGCTTCATTTTTAGTTAATTTTAGTTTTTTTTTTTTTTTTTTTTTTCGCATTCCTTTTCCCGTTGGCTCAGGCCAACGGGCAAATCGCACTCGTGGCTTTTCATCCACGTACAGTAAAAACCCCAAGGGCATGGTCCCACTAGCAAAGAGAATCGGATCGAATGCCTGAATCTGGACGATGTTCTGTTTTCCTAGTGATCCGATATGGTCCTAGCCACCGACTGTCTAGTTTTCTGGACCACTGTTTTTCTTGCGACATATCATACAACAAGACGATGTCTCCCACTTCCAACGGCTCTTTTCGTACACGTGGCCTCTTGTCCCATCTTTCCTAGCCAGCCTGCCTGCTTTCAGAAGTAGAGACAGCCGCATCCTCAATCCGTTCTTCAGTCGCCATGATCTGTCTTGCCCTCAATTCCAATAACTCTTCCGTCGAAAGTTTCGTTTCCACGTCCTGTTTTTACCAAGTGGTCAGGAAACTCTCAATTGGAAAAGTCGCATGTCGTCCAAACCATAATGTGACGGGGCATACCCGGTTGTTCGCTTGATGGTAACATTCTCAACGAAAAAGGATGCCCTCAAATAAATCGGCCATCTTGATGGCTCCCCCTTGCACCATTTAGCCAACAAGTTAGACAAGGTGGCATGTCCTCGTTCCACGGGTGCATTGGCCTGGGGATGCGCTCTCGTCGTATAACTGAAACTCACCCCAAGTCTTTTTAAAAGCGTTTGCACCTCCTTTGCTCGAAACTCGCCTCCTCGATCCATAACAATCTCTTGAACAAATGGATAACAATATTCCTCAATGCACTCCGCCAAGGCTGACCCAGTACGTTCGCGAATGGCACGACCATCAACGAACCCAGTCAAATTGTCCCGTGCATCAAAGATATATTTGTACCCATTTATACCAGGTGGCATTACCAAAAGATCCAAATGCACCACATAATGTGGATTTAGGGGCTCAAGGTAGCGGATATTAGACCTCTGTTGGCAAGGGAAACAAGATTTACAGAAGTCAATCACCATCTTGTTCATCCCTTCCCAGAAATAAAGACGTTGGATCTTGTTCAGGGTTACCCGCGCAGACCTGTGCCCGCCGGCTACCCCATCATGCAAAGCAGCGATCACATCCAACTGTCGAGAGGTTCCGCATACCACCCTCTTTGGGAAACCATCAGCAACTTTCTTAAAGAGATGACCGTCACGAACAACGAATCCTTTGCTTCTCTCCCGCACAACCGGATCAACCTCACTTTCATCCAATTCCCCATTCAACCACAAGCCTATCTTTTTATACTCCCCTTCGTACTCCTTTTCCTTAAACGCTTCTTTGACCTCACTGTCTCCTTCCTCCGCATTCATTAACCTCAGGCGATCCTCATGAACCAACGAGTTCATGATATATGACATCCTTCCAACGATTTGGAAAGTGTCATCAGCCTGTGTATGGCCATGTTCAATCGTTAGCGGATCAAGCATAAGGTCGATGTCATCGGTCAAAGCCAGCCTCATCATTTCCTCTGCGGCCTGCTCACCCCATGGGTCCTCAATGAAAGGTCCCTCCATCATGAGCTCTGACCGTACCTCGTGACAGGTAGGAGCACTCCATATTGATTTCCCATGCCGAGTGGCTGCATTAATCAGGTAGGCAAGAGAGTTAATACTCAATCGCGACTCCTCTTCCTTCAGATAGGCATCGACCGGAACTGATTCTTCCGCCTGATCCGCCTCTGGGTCCCTTTCAACCCGACTCAACCCATCAGCACGATTCTGACTCCCCGAAATCCGCTCGATTTCAAAGTCGAACATCCAAATATAAGTCAACCATCGTGCAATGGTGGTATCAGCAGGTGAATAATTCCTTAAGGATTGAGCCAAAGCAGTTGGATCTACCCGCAGGATGAAGCGTCTCCCAAACACATAATTCCGAAAGATGCGGAAGCAGTGAAGCACGACCAAAGTTTCTTTTTTGAACTGGGAATAGTTCCTCTCAGCAACATTGAGAGTCCTGCTCTTAAATCAGAGAGGTCTTTCCTGCCCCTCTGCATCCTTCTGAACTAAGACCCCTCCTAGGGCTGTGGGCCTCGCATCAGTCTCAATAACAAAAGGACGTTTTTCATTATCGTCGAAAAAGGGAACTCCAAGGATCAATCCGCCCTCACGGAACTCGGTCTTTATATCCTCCACGGCCTCTTGTTGCTTCGGACCCCATTCCCACTTCTGGCCTTTGCGCACAAGCTTTCGCAAGTCCTCCACTCTGGCGGCAAACCTGCGCATGAAGATGTGCCAAAATCCACATGTTCCGATGAAACTTCGCACATCCGTGATCGACTTGAAAGGGGTCGGCCATTCCAAGATTTTATTAGTCTTCTTCACATCCGGCCGACGACCTTTCTCATCGCAAAGGAATCCCAAGATCACTGCTCTCTTCATACAATGCCGAGACTTAATCCCACTAGCTGTGAGATTAAATTCCTTCAACCTCTTAAGAATTTTCACCACATCATTGACGTGTTCCCAGACAAAGCGGCGAATACCCGACAACACCTCCGCCAGGTCTTTCGTTCGAGGCCCTGGAATAGCCAAGTCGTTAATATACGGTGAAGTTATGTCAGGACAATAAGGCTGCATAACCCTCGTCATATATCTCTGAGCAATGGCAACTGCATTCGTCCACCCCTGCGGCGCCACACACATATGGATCAATCCACGAGGACTATGCATCGCCATCTTGGGCCGATCCGCAGTGTAAATGAGAAATTTATCATACCCGGAATGTAAATCAATGAGGGTGATGATAGACCTCCCTTCACAAGACTCCGACAGTAGGTTTGCATGTGGGAGTCCACCTGCATCTCGCACTGTCACCGAATTTAGCTTCTGAAGGTCCTGAATCCATCGCAGAGTACCATTCGGTTTGATGAAACAGAACCATGGAGATGCATATGGCCCGTAAGAATAATCTGCAACCTTTGTCTGGATCTTTCCATCGAGATACGCGACCACCTTACGGTGATCCTCCGGATTCGGATAACGTGGCCCTCTCACATTCCATGGCTCATGTGGTACAGTATGAACTCTAATCATCGGGATTTTATCGACATCCAGCCTTCCTCGCTCATCATCATCAAACGCATAGGAGAGATGTTCCCCCCTGAATATATCGATGATATACCCTTTTTCCTGCTTAGTAAGGAGGTCCTCCTCCCCAATGATCATACTTTCCACCCCAATGATCATACTTTCCACTCTTTCTTTGGTTAACCGACATGGCCCCTTTTCACCTCTCTCTTTCATTCCTCTGATCCACTCCCGCTCCTCGCGATAATAAACTTCCTCCTCTTGAGTGATCAGAACAGGTACCGACTTCGCCTTCACGCCTACTTTCTTGTACTTACGTTTGGCGCTGGTGTCAAGCCTGCGTCCTCTAATAAAGGACTCTGTCGAGTGGAGGGCAATTCCTGATCTTTTCCCTTATTTCCCTTCGACGGGGAGTAAACAAGGCGCACAGTTTCTGCGCTTCCTGTGTCCGTGATGATCTCCGTCAAGGCTTGTACCACATTTGGATCAATCGCCGCATGTGTCGACACAAAATCGATCGCCTGCCCAATATCAGGCAAAGTGAGCGAGAACTCACGAGGATTCGGCTCCTCTCCTAGTAATTCCTTCTCCCGTCTCAATTTCTCTGACTCCGGGAAGGTATACGATTCGGGGTTCAGTCGGTTCCGCAAGCAATAGGGTCCAGTGTTCGCACACTTGACCACTTCGTAATAACCGCAGAAAGGATCGCAAAGGATCACAAACATGGTTCCATATTGCTTGTTAATGATGATGCTCTTTGATCGACATAGGAATGCCCTTCCCAAAAGCACCTCATGTTCCACTCTAGGTAACACGTAGAAATAAGAACGGACTTTGACCTTTCCGACCGTGACGAGAACGCCACTGGCTGTCCCGCAGAATGGGGTCGATCCGCTAGCTCCCACCAAAAGCCCATAGTCATCTCGGTTGATCTTCAACCCAGCTTCGATGGCATGGCGCTCACGAATGATGTTCATCTCGGCTCCATCATCCACAAGTGCCGAATACTCCTGCTGTCCAATCTGGACCTTCATATGGCCGGTCGACACACTTCGCCGATCCATCTTTGTCCCAGGCGTGGACCAGTTAGCCTCCGGCGGAATGACTTCGTTGAGCTTAACAGTCACGGCTCTCTTGCGAGTCATCCGCTGTTTTAACTCTTCTCGAATCTTCGGCGATACCGCTAAAATTTCCTTCAGCGTGATCAAGTCGCGTTGACTTTCCAGAATCTTATCGACGAGTTGCTCGATATCGATCCCTGCTCCACGGGGCGGCTCCTCGCTTACTTCGGCCTTCCCTTTCTCCGGCTCCCTTTCCAGCGCACGACGACGAACCCGTTCTTCCTCTTCGGCCCGCAACTTCTCATCCTCGTTATCCTCATGGTTCTCACTAACGGGGATAGGCTCTTCTTCCACCGCCTTTTCAGACTCTCTTTCCTTTTGAAGCTGCTCATTTCGTCGCTGCATCCGAGTCTGCACGGCTACAGTCGGAGCACTCCTCTTTAGCACAGGCCTAGGTCTCATCGTGCTTACCATTGGCCCAATTTGCGATGTTTCTCTCGGAGCAGGTGTCCCTGCTTCACCAGACGCATCTTCCCTTTTATCACCCCATTCGCCGAAGAGAAAGACATTCGGCAATCCTTCCTCCATGTCCACGCAAAGTCGGATGATAGAGTCCCGGCATCGGGCAAGCAGCCTCGTGATGGTTTGCGCTCGTTCCACCACTTGTTTCCTAAACCCTTGTAGTTCCGCCGTCGAGTCGTCAATATGTAACGACGCCATGGCCTCCTCGACCTCGGTCAACCGTGCCTCTTCGAGAGAAGCAATCCGGAACGTCGCCGGCAGCGAACGACCCATTCGGCGAAACGCCTCCTTCCTCATACCCCCTTCAATGTTGGGGCGATCAGGTTCCCTTCGTAATCAAAGACTTCACCGCGTATCGTGGTGAAGACTATTCCCTCCTTCTCATCTTTTGAAAGGAGTTGGCAAAACCGCATAATATGGCCCTTTTCTGTGCAGTAGTTACATGTGGCTTCCTGCTGCCACGCCCAACGGCTTCGCTGTCCGTTCCCACGGCCTCGACCGCAGCCTCTTTCACCCTGCGGCTGAAACTGCCCTTGATCTTGGGAACTTTGTCCTAACGAACCACCGCCGGCACCGCCTTTCCCTCCTTGATTGTTTTGGCCACCGTTCTTCCCCTGTTTACGGGAAGTCCCCTGTCCGCCTCGAATTTGATTCAAGACCTTCCTCTCCGCCTTTGTCAACTTACGAGGCGGCTCCTTTTCCTCCTCGCTTTCACTGTCGCTTTCTTCTTCCACTGGCTCTTTCCCTTTCCTCTTACTCTTTTTCTCGTTGGCCATCATGACTTGAAACTTCAACCTTTCCTCCTTCATGCCTTCCATCATCTCTCTCATGCAGGTCAAAGCTTTGTAAATCTCACCGTCCTTCACCTCTCCCAGCTTCACCTTTTCCCGTTCCTCCTTTTGTTGCCTCAACAGCCGGTAGAGGATATCGTCGAACTTCCCCACCAGCGCATTTTGCCGGACCTTAGTCCAGTCATACCTCCCTTGCATCCCTTCAACCAATTTCGACTGTTCGACGTCGTTGAAGTTATATCAAGGAAGATAAGGCAACGATCTTTGTCGGGCAGATCCGGGATTAGGCGAGCCACACGCTCAAATTCCGATAAAAATTGTTTGGTAGTACCAAACTTTTTACGATCCACCGCCCTCAAATCCTGCAGGTCGAGCAACCAATCACTGAGCAGATACTTCTCCAACAATCGCGCCTTAAAATCTGACCAATCACGAGAGATCTGCACCAGCTCATCGATCTCGTCTGACAGTACCTTTTAACCATGCGAAGCATTTTCTCATCTGTCCATTCGTTGCTATATCCCAATTGCTCAAACTTGTCTGCCCAAGAAGAGGCATGATTCCCGTCGAATAACGGAACATCAATCTTAGGGTAGGGCTCTCGCTGTGACTGCCGGATGACCCATGCCAGTTCTTAAATGTCATTCCTCCCATCGTCGTCGTTGTTGCGACGTCCTGCGGCACCGGCCATCTAGGGACCAAAACATAAACCCAAGAAATCAGTCTAGGAGTTTGGTAACATTTATTAAGGTTCCTTCCTTACACTTGTAGAGGTCCAGAGATTACTAACCTTTTGTCTTAGACAACCATTACGACATGATCTTTTACGTGCTCCATTCCCGAGTGTCGTTCCACCAGGGACAACGGTAGTTTGCCGTTATCCCCGGCAACGGCGCCACCTGTCGAGCGCATCGGCCCCCGCGCGAGCGAGGGCCCTCCCGGCCGCGTCACACAGGACAAACTAAGGCTCTCAACTTTTTAGAAACAACTCGGGGACGACACGGTAACCCACGTCGACCCTTCGCCGCTCCGGCCGAGTGCGTCAGCTGTACATCCCGCGGTCCCCTACGACAGGATAGGTTCTCGCGGGGCACAACTTACCTTCCCTAAGGGGCTGTCACCACCCTTAGGGGCGTATCCCCGCCGAGCTACCGACCCACATGCAAAAGCTTTTAGATGTAATTGCAGAGGTAGGTCAGTCGAGGGCGTTTGCTCGTTCGCTGTAAACGCGAAAGTGGACCCGAACGTCGTCCGTCTCTGGGGCGCTGATCTCCGAGGAATCAGACCGACGTCGGTCGACTAGGACGTGATACTCCAAGCGTAAGAAAATCTCGATCAATCCTAGTCCCTTCTTTCAAGGACAATCGAAAGTCAAACATCAAAAGAAAACTCAGGTCAACGTAAGTTGACTTATCTTCTGAAACCGTCCTATATACAATTCAATTATACGTACGACAAAGGTCAACTTAGCTTCAAACAACGCTTATCAAAAAAATCAAGGTAGGCA